CCGGAAGCACTTTTTCATCAAAAAAAGATGGCGGCGCCAGCAAGCCAGCGGCCCGGTAGGACTTGTTCCGTGGACTGGTACCGGTCCGCGGACCGGTGGTTGGGGACCCCTTGTCCTAAAGTACCCAAATCCAACTTAGCCCACAGGGTTTCTTCAAATCTTTCAAATCCACTTTTCAATGCACAGTTCCAATAAAGTTTTATGTTCAGTGAATATTTCCCAGCATCGAATTCGCCTACTAAGATAAAGTCAAGGTCAAGTAGCCTTCCAGGTGTTATTTATTTCACTCCTTCCTTTGAGTTTTACACACTGCAGTGATCTTCTTCTTCCAGTAGATGGCTCCCCTGTTCCCAATTCCAGCTTCAACAGAGTGTAAAAATAAAAAACAGCTGATTGTCATCCAGTCAGGGGGGTTAGAGATAGAATTTTAGAAAAGCAATTTTCCCAATAATCATTTTTCACAATGTTATTCGGCTTTTTGAGGCTTTCTATTTTTTAAATCATCCTTTAGGTATTTCTTTTACTTCTAAGCCATTAATCTTTAATCTTCCTGTTTAGTTTTTAGTTTTTAGTCTTTAATCTTTTTCCATAAATCCAATTGCAGTTTTCTTAACATTTGGACATCATTTTTTGTAATTTTTAATTTGGATTAAATCTCTAAGGTAAAGTTGAAAGTTATCTCATCCAGTTTCACTGCTCTGTCCACGCACCGCTCCAGCACAAGATCTTACGTTCTGGCTTTCCCAGGTTGTAATTGACCAAAATGGCCGTCCCTGCTGCCGTTTTGGAGAACTTTCTTCGGATCAACAAATAAATTGCAGTTTCCTTGAGATCAATGAAGTGCCTCTCCTTTTTTCACCATCTCTCTAGGACAGCTTAACCCTGTAGAGTCTCCCATCAAGCAGTTGCCAGTTGTATTTCATGGAGCCTGGCGGAGCTCTGCTATTTTTCAGCTGTTCTTGTCGCAGCATCAACCAGAAGTCCCCTGACCATTTTGTTAATATAGGGAAGAAAAGAAAAAAAAACAAATCCGTTCCCTTCCCTCTCTCATTCGCAGCTTCAAAGTCTTCTTTGGGAACAATGTTGTTCTTTATAATTCAAATTCCAGGGTACCTTGTACTGTTGTTTTTCCAGTTCGACCCGGTCAGCCAAAAGCTTTCTCTTCTTATCTTCCTCCTGCACATTCTTTTCCAGTTGAGTTCTTCTTTGAGGTGGCCATTTCTGACCACCGCTGCAACCTCCTTCGGGAAAGAGAGTAATGGCCAGCTGGGGAGGAGAGATGTGGCTCTCCTCGACCCTGCTGGCAGTCTCCCCCCTCTTCACCACCTCTATGGGGTGGCTTAGCCCCGAAACCAGCCGGCTCGGGGCACTCCAGCAGCGAGCACAGATTGAAACTGCACTCAATCGCAGATTTCGGTCTGTCGCCGAAGAAGCTCAAACCGGATCTGATCCCCTGACCATTTTGTTGACCATCCAGTTTCTAATAGTCCTTAGCTATGTGCTTATAGGAAGCCCAATTTTTTTCCCAGCAAGCAGTTAAGCAGGTTATCTAAGTTTCAGGAACAATTCTTGACAATAGCCATTAATAGAGACATCTACTTCCATAGCCCTTGATTACTTTGAATTGAGATAAGAAATACAAAGATAAGAGTGGAAATTATTACATAGAACAAAAGTGGTGCTTGTGGGATGGATAACACTATATCAGCATTGAAATAAAATCATAATTAGCTCAAATAAGAATGAGAGTAAATTAAAAATGTATTTGCTTCTTCCACTGAAATCAGTAGCCTTAAGGAATGCTTATGTGGAGCTGGGTCATGCCTACATTTATTTTGTAAAAAGAAATATTGGCAGTTAACTCTGGTTTATTCCTCTATGTTTTGTCACAATCAGAAGAAAATAACTTTGAAATACTACAAATATTCAAGCTTGTCACATTTCTGTTATGAGATTTGCAGGGCTTTTAAGAAACTATCATATCTGCATAACTTCATTATCAAATATATTTGATGAAATGTTTAAATTATTAATGTTCATGCTTAAAATATTTTTCTCTGCAATAGGTACTGAATCTCTCTGAAAGAAGATATGATTTTGCTAAGCTTGACCCAAAGGTATTAACATGTTCTTGTATTAAAGTGCACAGCTTCTGTTTTATTTGTTTTATATTGTAGGCAGAATTTTTGAGGATGTTTGGCTAGACTGTCTCCAGCAAAATTTCCAAGGGGGACACTGTCACCTCAATAGGCAGGTTTTTGCGGGGTAATTTTTAAGCAAAAAATATTTGTTAAAAATAATTTCCTCATTCCTCATTATTAGATTAGGGGATTATTGCGTAAAGAAGTTGTATAGTCCAACTACTGATTCCACAATTATTTTGAAATATGGACACTCAATGAACACACCATTATTGGACGGAATCTGAATTATCTCTCAGATTACATTTATTTTTTTCTCAATACACAAAAGCTATTCTCATTTTTATGTTTGGAAGGACAACGTTAGAGTTGCTATTGCTATTTAACAGCTTCTTTGGTAAATCTCATAACTCTGTTTGATATTAGGCTACAAAGATAGAATTGCTGAATAGCTTAAAAAAATGTTTCTGGGAATCCCATCTGGTAATCAGATGATTAGTGTATATATCAAGGCTTCTATTTGTAATGTTTTTTTATGGTTTTCATATGGAATTCTGAATAACCTTTTTAACAAGTGAAAAAGATAGTCGCCATCTTTGATTCTGATAAGTACTTAAAGCACAGCATTTATAAAAGCATTACAATAATTTATTTGTAACAAATAAGGTGGGAAAGACTGCTATGAAAATAAACATATGAAAAATATATCTATTCTATTTATTAATTGTGTAAATTGCTAAAAATGTTTGTCTTTATACATTTCTAACACTTTTTAATTATTTCAGATTATGGAAGTGGGCTGGCCTGACTTCCATGCCCCATCCCTTAATAAGATATGCAACATCTGCAAGGCTATGGAATCCTGGCTGAACAGTCACCCTCAACACGTTGTGGTGATCCATTGCCGAGTAAATTGCTGTTACAAATCTTTTAGTTTATGTATTGAATTATAATATAATAGCTATGTGTCTCTTGTGGAACTTTGATCCCATATGTTATGGAAAATAAAATCTCCAGATGCATTAATTGTCTGAAGAAATACATAGGCTATACTTGCGGAAGCTTTTACATTTCTTTTAGTGGGCTGAGAAACTGTCAAAGAAGCTATAGAGCAATGTCAGGTATAAATAGTATTGTTGTAGTGTAAGAAGCTGCTAAACTAGAATATTTGCCACAAATACAAATCTATTCCTTTGAATATTTTTTTTTCTCATTTTATATTTTTGACATGCAAAATATCCTTCCTTCCTTCCTTCCTTCCTTCCTTCCTTCCTTCCTCCCTCCCTCCCTCCC